AACCATGCAATTTGCAGCACACAGTAACGCACACTGACAGGCATTCTAAGAGAGAATAAACCTTTAAGCCATGAAGAGATAGTGCTCACCTCACTGCACTGACATTGAATGAGCTCCACCCTTCTCCTGTAGAGCCCAACTTCAGCAGGTCTTATAAGATACAATGAAATCACCTGTTTCTAAAGACTGAGAACAATTTGATTGCAATCAGTTGCAATCATTGTCAATCTGTCCATTTTCTGACCACTTTATCTAATGCAGCGGCGCAAGGGAACCAGAGCCTATGCTGGCAAGCAATGAACATGTGGCAGGATACACCTTGGACGGGCAGTGAGTCCCTCACAAGGCACACACAAACACAAAGAAATGCTCATACTCACATCTAGGACCAATTTCCCTCAGAAGCCAATTATTTATTTTACCTACCAGTATTTCTTTTGAATAGTGGAAAGAAACCGGAGCATCCGGATGAAACTCACGTGAACACAGAAGAACGTACAAACTGGAAGCATATAGCACCCTAGGTCCAGAATTCAATCCAGGGCTCCAGGCTGTGAGGCAACAATGCTAACCACTGTGCCACTGTACCGCTTTGTTGCCCTTGTTAAGTCAGGTTATGTAGAAATAATTTGAAAGAGAAACCCTCATGGTAAATTGTGATGTGCTGCTTAGCAGCTTATGTTGGCCTAAGGCAACCGTGCCAAAGTTAACGTCTTGTAGACTTCAGTCTGTGCACAGTTTGTCTGCATTGAGTCTGGCTCACATTGTTATTTGATGTAACCAGGCATTCCCAAAGGCATTTGGTAAATATTAGTGGAGCTATGATATGCAATCTTCACCAGCTCCTACCAAGATGGCAAAACATCTACTGAACTGAGGCTCCATGTCCTCTACACAACAAAGCAAATGGAGCTTACCTCTTCATAAGGAATTGAATGTGATCTAACAGTTAAAATACAAATTAAAGCACTGAGACAAACTCAAACAGGATTTCACCTAGTGGATGCTGTAGCGGCGAGGCTTATTAATAAGGCAGAATTAAGTGTTTCTGAGCTTTCCCAA